TGAGTAGGAAGTTTGTTAGTATAGGTAGTCTTGCATATATTCCGATCGGTGAGAGACCGCTTGCTTTGGATGTTCAAGCTTTGGCCAATCAATTCGTGAGGTTGGATGTCTCTGAGCCCAGCTGTGTATTAGCTTGCACAGTCACTCGTTCTTCATTATTGGAGCGTATCCGGGATCGGAAGTAGGATGATCCTTATTTGCTTGTCCTTAGGGACACAGTGAGTCACAGAGGTGCCAAACAGGTTACAGTTGGAGATGATGGAGTTTTGAGGATGCAGGGTCGTATTTGTGTGCCTAATATAGATAGGCTTCAAGAGTTGATTCTAGATGAGGCCCATAGTTCCCGGTACTCTATTCATTCGGGCGCCACTAAGATGTATCAGGATTTACGGCAACATTATTGGTAGAGGAGTATGAAGAAGGATATTATAAAAATATGTAGCTCGATGTTTGAATTGTTAGCAGGTAAAGTATCAGCATCAGAGACCTGGTGGTTTGTTCCAGAAGATTGAGATTCTTGAGTGGAAGTGGGAGCATATCACTATGGACTTCATTGTTGGACTCCCACGAACTCAGAGGAAGTTCGATGCAGTACGGGTTATTGTTGATAGCCTGACCAAGTTAGCGTATTTCATTCCTGTAGCGGTTTCCTATCCTTCCGAGCGGTTGTCAGAGATCTATATCCGGGAGATTGCTCGTCTTCATGGTGTGCTCGTGTCTATCATTTCGGATCGAGGTACGGAGTTTACCTCACATTTTTCGAGGGCAGTTCAGCGTGATTTGGGCATACGGGTCGAGTTGAGCACAGCATTTCATCCTCAGACCGATGGGCAGTACGAGCGTACTATTCAGATTTTGGAGGATATGCTTCGAACTTGTGTCATTGACTTTGGAGGCTCATGGGATTAGTTTTTGCCTTTAGCGGAGTTTGCCTACAACAACAGCTACCAGTCGAGCAGATGGCTCCTTATGAGGCTTTGTATGGTAGGCGGTGTCGGTCGCTGATTGGATGGTTTGAGCCGGGAGAGGCTCGGTTATTGGGTACAGATCAAGTATAGGATGTCTTGGACAAGGTCAAGATCACTAAGGATAGGCTTCGTACAGCTCAGTCCAGGCAAAAGAGTTATGCCGATGTAAGGTTTGTGATGTGGCATTCATGGTCGGTGAGCAGGTGTTACTTTGGGTATCGCCTATGAAAGGCGTGATGAAATTTGGAAAGAAGGGCAAGCTTATCCCTAGATTCATTGGCCCGTTTGAGATTCTTGATTGAGTGGGAGAGGTGGCTTACAGACTTGCATTGTCGCCGAGTTTATCAGTCGTGCATCCAGTGTTTCATGTGTCCATGTTTTGGAAGTATCACGACGATCCATCCCATGTGTTAGACTTCAGCACTGTCCAGTTGGATAAGGACTTATCCTATGAGGAGGAGCGGGTAGCTATTCTAGACCGGCAAGTTCGTCAGTTGAGATTGAAGAGTTTCCCTTCTGTTCGTGTTTAGTGGAGAGGTTAGCCTGTTGAGGCAGTGACCTGGAAGTCCGAGTCCGATATGCAGAGCCGATATTCCCATCTTTTCTCTGACTCAGGTACTTTTTTTATGTCCGTTCGAGGACGAACGATTGTTTTAGAGGTGGAGAATGTGATGACATCACTCGTGTTGAAAGTAAATTTTGCGTTCCGAGGCCTTAAAACCCTCTTTTTGTCTCACCTCGATATGCGTGCGCAGTCCGGGCGCGTTTCCGGAAAGCTTTTATGTGAAAACTTAGTAAAATAAGGAAATTGGCTTTTAAAATTGAATAATGTTGACTTTGTTCAACATTCTTGGTAAACGGACCTGGACCCGTGATCCCACGGTCTCGTAGGATCCGTAGAAAAATTTTGGACTTGGGCGTATGCCCGGAATCGATTCCGAGGTCCCAAGCCCGAGAAATAAATTTTTTTAAGAAATTTATTTTTTGGAAAATATAAAGGTTTTTAGAAGTGAATTGATGTAATTCTTGATGTTATCGGGCTTGTATCTTGGTTCCGGAGCCCGGTACAAGTTTGAAATAATAAATAAGTTGAATCTGTGAAATTTGGTAAAGATCGAAATTAGTTTGGTATAAAACGGACCTATAGTTGAGAAAATAGTAATTTCGATGTTCTTGAGTGATTTCATGAATTTGAGGTTCAATTCATAGTTATTGATGTTATTTTGATGATTTGATCGCACGAGCAAGTCCGTATAATATTTTTAGATTTGCGTGCATGTTTGGTTTGGAGCCCCAAGGGCTCGGGTGAGTTTTGGATAGGCCACGGAGTGAAATTTGAACTTAGGAAAACTGATGTGTGTTGCAGGTCTGCAGGCTTCGCAATTGCGAGCTCGCATTTGCGATGATTGGGCAGGGGGTGACCTTCGCAATTGCGACTCCAATAGTGTTCGCATTTGCGAACGGTTGTTCACATTTGCGAGGTTAACAGGGCAGGCCTCACTTCGCAATTGTGAAACCTTGGCCGCAATTGCGAGTTGAGTACGACGTATAGGCATGGTGATGAGTATCTATACATTTGTGTCAAGCATGCCCGTGAGTCTTATACTATGATTAATGTGACTCCATTTCGTATTGTTCATGCTTTATATGTTGATTTCTATTGTTGAACAAGGCTTGTGGAAGTATTGTTGGTAATTGAACATTGTAGAGCGTTGGCTCAAGTTGAGAATTGAGTTGTGAAGTAAATGTGGAAAAGAGAAGAGGTTTATGATATTGTCTCCCTTACTGGGATGTTATTGCCTTTGATATTATCTCCCTTGCCGGGATGTTATTAATCATGATATTGTTTCCCTTGCCGGGATATTATTGTTATGTTATTGCTCCCTTGCCGGAATTTTATTGTGATATTATTGATTCCCTTGCCTAAATTGCTTTGTGATTGTTGCTTGGGTGAGGAAGAGTGTAAAGCACGAAGGGTGATGTCGTGCATGATTTTGAGAGTGTTAATGCACGAAGGGTGATTTTGTGTCGATATTGTGAGGTAAAAGCACGAAGGGTGATGGCGTGCCGCACAATGTACAATGACGTACCATGATATGAGTGATAATGCACGAAGGATAATTCTGTACCATGATTATGTGAGGTAAAAGCACAAAGGGTGATGTCGTGCTGACTATATTGATTATTATGGTGATGACGAGAGTAAAAGCACGAAGGGTGATGTCATGCACTTGTCCTTGATTTTCTGATTCTTGATTATGATTGAATTTTGGTGTTCTTTACATTTATCTATTGATTTTCTTTGGTTACTTGATATTCCCCGCAACATGTTTTTCCCCTCCTATCTTTAACTGTAAATTTTTGCTTTTATTTTTCCGCTGATATGATTTAACTATACAGGTTTATTTGGTAATTTGGTCCTAGCCTCGTCACTACTTCGCCGAGGTTAGGCTAGGCACTTACCAGCACATGGGGTCGGTTGTGCTGATACTACACTTTGCACTGCGTGCAGATCCCGGTGTTGCAGCTTTTGGACCACAGTGAGGTTGCTGCCTTCAGTCCATTCAGGCGACCCGAGGTAGTTCTGCAGGTGTCTGCATGCCTTGGCGTCTCCTTCTATCTTTCCATACTGTTTCTTCTATGTATTTCAGAAACAACTTGTATTTATCTTTCGGACCCCTATTTGTAGTACTCCTAGACAGTCTGTGGTATTGTGACACTAGATCTGGGTAGCTTATGTTTAAGGATTGGTATCGCTATTATTATTAAATTGTTACATGTCATTCTTCCGCTTTATTATTTCCATTGTTTATATAACGTTAATCACAACTATTAAAGGATTAAAAGTGGAAAAGGTAAAATAATTGGAATAATCAGCTTGCCTAGCTTTCACTAGTAGGCGCCATCACGACTCCCGAGGGTGGAAAATTCGGGTCGTGATAAATACAAACCTTCTGGTGCCAGACATTTATTATGCCAAAAAAGATACTTAATGTGATTGAATCTATATGCAGAAGGTATCTTTGGACGGGAGACAATGAGATGACAAAGAAGGCATCACTGTCATGGGATAATGTGTGTTGTCCTAAGTCAGCGGGAGGGTTCAATATCTTTGATATATGCCTATGGAATAAAGTTGTAATATGCAAGCATTTCTGGAACTTGTGCCAAAAGAAGGATAGACTTTGTATACAATGGGTCTATAGCTACTATGTGAAGGTAAACATATCTGGGGATGTGACCCTCCACAAGCGTCCTGGATGGTTAAAAAGGTGATGAAGGTAAAGGATACCTTGGAGAAAATAGGATACTTATATGAAGACATCTTGAAGACTAGCCACCTCTCAATCAAGAATATATACAACAAACTTGGAGGAGAGTATCCAAAGGTGAGTTAGAGGAGACTAATATGCAACAATTCAGGATATCCTAAATGAATATTCACACTACAATTGGCAGCACTAGGACACTATATGCTAGAGATAGATTATCAAAGTGGGATATGCTGACTGAGCTTATTTGTCCTCTGTGTGACAATGATGATGAATCCATTGAGCACCTAATTTTTAAGTGCAACTTCTCTACTACCCTATGGGGAAAATGCTCACATTGATGAAAATAAACAGAGGGCCAATGGGATAGAATCAAGAACTGTCATGGATAGTTACGAATGCAAATGGAAAGGATACTAAAGTTGGAATCTACTTATTAACAATGACAGGATGTGTGTACTACTTGTGGCAAGAGCGGAACTTAAGAATTTTTTAAAAGAAGTCGAGAAGTGTTGAAGTTCTAAGTAGATTAATAACACTCATTGTGGAGGACAGTGTGATTGAACACTTGTGGGGCAATTCAGAAGGATGAATTTCTTTCTTTAGTTAAATTCTGTCTATTTTTGTAACTATGGGGATAGGGAGGAAGAGAAGATGAATGTAAAAAGTTAGGACAAAGTTGTCCAACTTTATAGGTTTTGTTTTGCATGTACATATATTTTCCCATGGTAAATAAAATTATATATATATATTCCTACTATTAATAAGGTACAGTTTGAGAAGCTTGGGGTTATCGGGAGTATTTTGGAAAAATTACAACTGATTTAACCAAACACACGTAGTATTCTTGTTTTTCCCGGTTTTGACACGTACAAACGCTTAGTGCATACGCTAGTTCTTCCTCCAGATTTTCACAGTTGCTCAATTCCTCTTCCAGTTTTGCTCTTGGAAAATGGGGAATTTCCCTTTTTTCCCCCGATTTCCCCTAGAATTTTTGTAAATTAACATAGGCATCCGATCTCAGACCTTATTGTCCAACGATTTCACTTTTCTCTCTGGATCTAAACTCTATGCTGTGACAAGATAGTTCCATCACAAATCTCTTGTTCAACTTGAAAGGTAATTTATATTTCTTGTTTGCTGCAGAGAAATGATTTTTTTAAAATGAATTTATTTGGCTCTAGGTATTTTCCAGATTGATGTTGTGCAAAAATTGTTTATATTGGGTAAATTGCTTACTGCGACAGCTTGTGAACACTGGTGCTTAACCAAAAGTCCTAAATTGACAGAAGTGCTAACAATACTCTTATTAATGAAGACACGAGGAAATGAGTTGAGTTGGAAATGTGATTTTTTCAATTGAAGCACGACTATAGAAGTGTAAGTCATATAGGTATTCCTCTGTCCTAATAGACTTGGTTGTTTTCTTTTTTTCCTGCGTAGAAAAACCTTATTTGAACTGTAGGAATGCAATGAGTCTTCTTTAGTTTTGACACGTTCCCTTACCAGGGCTCCAACAAACGCTCAGCATCTCGCTTCCTCCAGATTTGCACAACCTCTATCTGTTCTTCCTCCAAATTTTCACACCTGCTCAACTGCTCTTCCAATGTCCTTTGTCTCTTTCAGTCTTCTCTCTTCCTACACAGTTTATTAGTGCTGGTTGTAGGTGAGTTTTGCTTTCTTATTTTCCTGATTTTAGGAATAGTAATTGCGTAAAAATTATTTAAATTGGGTAAAACTGCGAAAGCTCTTATGATTTTTGGAATAGCTGTTGCCTAGAACAACTCAAATTGTTTTTATATTACTCGATCCTATTTGTGCGAGGAAAGCTCCTTTTTTTTTTTTTTATTTACTTTTCTATTTGAAGTTTGGTCATCAATCGGAAGGCCCTTTTCTGTTAAAAAAAGAATTAAGTTTCAATAAGAGGACTCATCCTCTTAGTTTACTGAAAGTTTATATTTCTAACTCCTTTGTTTCACCTTCGTTAGTCTGAGAATTGACTCCTTCACAGTCAAATATGCTTGGGATTTGTAGAAAAGTTTGTACCTTTTTATGCTAAATCTTGAGATGCCAACTTGGATTTGTTGTTTAAATTAATAAAAGTCTTTTATTTTGCTATGTGAATTCTATACAGAGGAAAGTTTCAGTTCTTTGTTGGGATTGAGTTGAATGGTTCATGAGCTTTTTTAGATCATTATAGTTGAAATTGGGTTAGTTTATAAATTGGAATGCTATCGTTGTCTAATTTTAAGATTCAAAGGCCTAAAATGTTGCTTCTATTGTTTTGAGATGTTCTTTTCTCATGGATTTTGCTTTTTAGAGGACTCTATAAAGTTCCAATCTTGGGGGAAAGGGGGGAGGGGGGATGTAGAAGCTCTGCCTAAATTTTCGATGTAAGAAAGAGCAAAAAAATAATAGCATTTTGGCATTTGAGTTCACAGATTGGTGCAATTTGGTAACTTGTATTTGGTATGTTGGAAGGATAGACTGAGTTCTCTATTCTGATTTGATATGTTAGTTATAACTTCAGCGAGATCAATTAAAAATCATATTTAGGGTTATTCTTGCAAGTCCTTGTTGTCTGTACTCATAGAGATTTAACTATAAATTTATCAATCCCATATCTGCAATATCATAACTGCCCAAGAGAAATTAAATAAATGAAGTATAACCTGATCTATTTATGAGTAAACATGCTAAGTCATCCTTCATGGTGTTTATACATCCAGAATTTCTGCCGGAGTGAGAGTAGCGACTGCATTACTTAGAATTTTAGCTGCTATTGGATTTTGTTATTTTTTTTCAAGATACGGCAGAAGAAGAAAAGGGAAGAGCAGCAAGCTCGCGTCCTAAAGCTCTTTGATGAAGATGATGATCTAATGTTGAGCTTGGTATTCGGGATTGAGATTATATATTCTCCTTCTATAACACAGTGCATTTTAGCAGAGGTGCGAACACTGCCATTTTCCAAAATATTGTGTTTATTTCTTTTTAGTTTGTCTCAGCAAACAAAATTTAGTCTTTGCATGTGTACAATTTAAGATGATTTAAAGATTTTATTTTTGTTTTAGCTTGTAATGTATTTTCTTAATGGTACATGTGATTTCTTAATATACCCTGTATTCATGCAACACTAAAAACAACTATAATCTGAATATGCTATCTCCAAATTTGATATCTAGCACCTATTACATGCTGCGATCGTATATAACTCGAGCAGAGAAGGAGAGAACTGAGAAAGATGTGAAAGCTATACAGCAAAAGGAGAACGGACATGGCTGACAGCCTCAAACAATCACATCGGAAGACAACATTGAGTAAGATGAAGAGGCTGGAACTCCTGAGATGCAAGTTGATAAGATGCATCAAGACAAAGAAGAAATACATGTCGTTAACTAATCATCAAGATATAAGACTTTGTTTTTACAAGGTACATATATAATCCATTTTGTTTCATAGTTTTAGTTGGATTTCATTTACCAATGCATATGCACAATTTATATGACTCTAAAACTTAAAAAATGTGTCATGTAATTGTTGTTGTGTTACAATAGTAATATATATGATCTGAAAGTTCTTCTATGATCCCCTGGTTATGCTTTTGTTGAGGCGAGTTTTAGTTGAACTAGCTTATATGAACTTCATGCATATACCCCTTCCAAAATTTTAAGGCCTTCGACATCTTTTTTCTGCAAATATCAATAGTTTGGAGAGGCTTATAAGGCTGCTGATGTTTTTCACGGGCGTGATGGCTATGATTTTGATGGGCATTGCTTGACGGTTAGTAAACTCTATTGTTGTATGATTTTTTCCATTGTAAAGCCTCAAAGCAATAGAGACATTGTTTATTTGCAACTTTTTATCCTTTTTATACAATTCTTTTTGCAGATTTTAGTTTAGTGTTGCTACAAATGGATTCAATGACGTGTAAGAATATAATGCATGTGTCTTACATGAAATACACCGGAAACCATTCTTTGTGTTCATATTTGATCATTGTTCATTCCTGTGTCGGAATGTGTATCTGGTTTAGGTTTTTTTCTGACTTTCTAGGGGTACGGGTAATATTTTGGGAACTTTTTTCGGTCGACTTTGCATACAGAAACCTACACAATGTTTGTAATGATTGGAATCACCTAGACAATCTATATAGCCATGTCATCAAAGATGAATAGGACTATAGGATTCAACTCTACTTCATGCTTCTAAATTCAGTTGAAAGTTGTGATTACGTTCAAGGATAAAGTCTTGTTTGAACTTTTTGATATGTCTATGGGAGAACTTTCATTATTAATAAATAGTGTTTCTAGAATATTTCATTGAGCTTGTTAATAGACTATTAAGCTATTTATGCTTGAATCACGTTAGCAAATATCGATTCAATTAGCTAATGACTGATACTGTAGTTGTTCTTTTTGATTCGTTTTGCACTAGACATTATCATTGCTGAATGTATACTAACAAGGTCAGTATGCTAAATTAGTTGTCCTCACTAATGCCAAAAGAGTGGGTTATTCATTGAAATCGAAATTCATTGCCTTTCTGGTTTCTTATTTCGTTAAGTGGGCTGCATTGATTTCTGATGGCTTTTTCATAATTTTTTATGCTCTGGTGGTACAAGTAATCACAGTTCAGCAACACTTTCATGTTCAATAGTGCACCGTCTGCATTTTATTTTAATAATTAATAAGCTAAAGCTAAAATGTTTGATGGTGAGAGTGGAGATACATTTTCAATATTTTCATTTCTTAATATAATGATATGATTATAAAGTAAGTAGCAAGAAGTAGTATAAATATTGTATATAGCTATTTTAATATTTATGGCACTAACTTTTATTCATCTAACTATTTACTTTGATCTAGATTTAGTGAGTAATGGCTTATTGTTGTAGAATTTTAAAACCAAAGAGTTCAAACATTTTGATTCAATGTAATTGTAACAACAACTCCTAAAAAATTGTTGGTTTCTTTACAACTATGTTTACAAGACTCAAATGTTTAATTTCAGCAGCATGTACACAGGTGTGTTTGTCTGCTATGGTCGTCATCCTGATGTGGTTAGTCACTGAATCATCTAATGTGGGCAGGGTATGCCGAAGTTTTTATCTCGCTGTTGTGAATGTTTAACGTATCGAATTTCTCTTCATGACAGAGAAACACTTGCACCTGATGGGCAACGAAGGATGATCACTTTTAAAGAATAACAAGCGCAACAAGATTATTGGCTATTTGAGTGAGATGTATAGTTACTGTGCTGCCTTTGTCGTCTATTATATAACAAGAAAAATTATTCACATTTCCAACTTCATACTCTTTCCTTTGAGCATGTTACCATTGTTAAAAAAATTATTCTTTTGCCCAATTACATTTTCTTAAGATATATATCTTTCCTTTACCTTAGGTTTCTAAGATCAACTACGTGGAGAGGGTGTGATGGAAATAGTGAATCATGCTAAATATTCTTTATATTTATGCTAGAGACAAATCTAAAAACCTTGGAACAAAATTAAGAAAAAGTTATTGCTACTGCGCTTGGGCCCGTGCTCGCTACCCTCACTAATCCACTTCAAAAGGGACAGTTAAGGAGCTGAGGGTCGTGCTGTGTGTTTGCCGTCCAACAAGGATAACATTGAAATCTTACTTTCCTCTATGTTATTTTGATTGGACTACTGTGTATTACTACTGTACCCCTTTATTTATTTTTGGTTGTAAAGACCAATTTGGCCATTTTGATATCTCATTACTTGATGGCCTCCAAATGTGTCACTTTGTCTGCCAAGTTATCTCATTACTGTGGCCCACAAGAATGAGGTGTCTACTCATTGAAGTTTCACTTTGGAGAAACAACTGTTTTTGTCTTTAGATTGTTAATAGAATACTTAATATAATACTCCCTCCGGTTCATAATAAGTGACCAATTTGTTTTTTTATTATGGTTCAAAATAAATGTCCAGTTATGTAATCAAGAAAGAATTCAATTTGTTTTTACATAATAACCCTTATGTACATATCCCTAAAAAGTTTTCTTACTCTTCACATTAAATGTTTAATTAGGGGTAGTTTAGTCATAGTAGGTATTTTTGTATAGAATTTAATATTTTCTTAATGGGCATGCTAAAAACAAATTGGCCACTTATTGTGAACCGGATGGAGTAACTTTAAAATATTGATCATTCGAACATTATGACTTGCGAACCTAATGGTTAAAATAAGCAGCTTTTGTGTATTTGCTCGTAATTGCAACAAAAAATAGTACATTTTTCATTAAAATCCATCATAATGTTCTAAAATAACTTATGAATAGGAAAATATATAAGTTTCAAAGTTTGGAGTTATAACATGTAGAAGCCCTTGTTCGTCCTTAGTATTCATTCATGATCATTATTAGTTGGTCCCAGAATAACATTGGCAGAAATACCATGATACCACTCATATTGATAAATTCATCCTCAGTGACGTACACAGAATTTTATGTAAGCGGTGTCGCAATTAATCGGTAGACGGTGACTCGTAGAAGTTAGGGGAGATGACAAGAGAGATGAAAAGCCAAATAGAGTAGCAGTAAGCCAACACATTCAAAAAAAAGTAAATCGTAAAGGAGTTCATCGAGTATTTAAATAGATAATTCTTATTAGTAGTAAAACATCCATTGTGTCCGGTCAACTGGCTAGTCCTTTGTACTTTGTACCCGTGCAAACCGAAGCATCTCTCTTTTAACTAGTAGCAAAAGATGCCCCAAAAAGTGAACTCACACAAGCATATGGTATCGAACAACCGACCTTCAGTTTGAAAGCTAGGCGTTGAACCACTGGACTGAGATCTGGGTTTGGTAAGTCGTGTCACTTTAGTTCTTTTATCTCTTGTTTGTTTTTATATATCCTCTACCATAAATGAATTTAGTTAAATTTTCCGACGAACCTACGTGCATCCGCCCCTGTTCATCCTATTTATTTAAGTTATTTTAAGTGTTTAGTTATGTTTCTGTAATGATTTAAACATCCATGTGTAAAATATTTGTGGTTATGGAAGTCAACAATTTTAAAGGGGGCAACCGAAAAGTCTTTTGAGAGTTCCAATTGATTATGTGATTGAATAGATCTTGTAAATGTCAATTGTCTATACAAGAGTAAACTGGTGCATACCCCAAATTGAAATGCTAAACAAAATCCGTTACTTTTACGGTATTTTTCAAATGTCACCAAGATCATAATTTAAATTCAAAAAGAGAGATATGCTTATTTGAACAATTGAAACTAAATTCTACATACTAGGTTAGTATATTCCAGAAGGCATAAAAATAATTTATCATTTGGGAAATAAAAATTCTAAATGGCATACATGATTATTGGTTAGACGATTGCAATAATTTCAAAGGACTCATAAATTTTTATCAAATAAATCAAATTAACTCGGTACATGCTTAAACATAGTTTTTCTCTTGAATGTCATTTAGAATAGCTAGATATAAAAGTAAATACTTTTTCGATCAGTACTTCCATTGTCAAATTTTACTAAGTTAGTTTTAGTAATTGCTTTTAATCAAAGTCTTTATCTTGCGCTTGGGAAATTTAAGTACTATTAATAAAATTATTGATATGAGTAATTTGTTTTATTTTGCTCATCATTTTTATTATTCAACATCATTAAATCATACGCTTGATTACCTTTTTAATTTTAAAAATGCAATTTAGTTATTATATAGGCGAGTTCATAACATAGATATTAGAAAAATGAGAAAAATATAATGATATTAAGAAAAATTTAATAGAAAGATAAATATTGATAATATAGAGGTTAAACTAGGCATTTAAAAATTAATTAGAAAATGAGGGAGAGAATGACAATTACTCAATGTTGGGGAGGGGGGGTTGATTTTTAAAACAGGGGTTGATTTTTAAAGCAAATTAACAGGATGTAAATGATTTTCACCCGGAAAGAAGGAAGACTTTTGAAATTTACAGTCTAAAACAATCCTATATTGGACTGCATGAAAGTTAAACTCTTATAAATTGAGAATTGCATTAAATTATTTTAAAGGAAAATAACTTTTTCCTCATGATTTAGTTCAAATACTTTTTGTAGAACCTAAATTATCTTTTTTTTCCCTCCTTTTACTTAATCTCTACAATCGTATTTAATTTGTTACATATGTAAGGATAAATTTAGTTGCCTTTACTATGGTAAACTTGAAAAACAAGTTGATAAGGTATAGAATTTTCTAGTAGACACTATGTGATGGCAACTTCGTATTATGTTGATAAGATATATCTTTATTACATGACTAGTATAAAACATATGCTATAAATAATTATTTAAAATAAATTAAATTCACCAAATTCGGGTTTTGAATATGTTACACATTACACTGGAGTTGTAAAGATGAGATGCAACAAATTAATTAAAACTAATAATGAATGAGATGAGTCGCCATGTGATTCACTTTAGCTCAATATTCATCACCAGCGAAGACTGATTTTCACCTTTTGAATTTGGGATTTTAATTGGGCCAGTAGCAACTATGAATAGATTCAGAATTTTTGTACCTTCATGTGATATTTGCACCAGATTAGTCTTGTTGCTTAATTCCAAGTGTAAAGTTAATTATTTTTTAGAAAAAGAACTGTAGTTCGCCAAACAGAGAATTTAATGTCTTTACCCTTAAAGGCTATCTTCATTTCTTAATGTCTATTTCTAGAACGCAACAATGTGAACGATCTCGACCTGGATCTTAATACTAACCAAGTTCTCCATCAATTATGGGAATATCTTTTCTTTATTGAAAAAAATCCCCTACAACAATCAAAAATCAAAATTGAAATCCATGCCCCC